ATTGTCCCTGAAGAAGTGAGAAGCTTTCTGTCTGCCACTTGACAACATGGTTAAATATCATGCAGCTTACTGTGTAGTTGCTAAAGAATCTGTTGGGAAACAAATCTCGATTGCGTTTTTGGAACGTATCAAAGCCGATTTCAAGAAAAGATATGGTGGTGGTAAAGCAGATACAGCTGTTGTAAAAAGTCTGAACAAAGAATTTGGGTAATTATTACATAATAATATTTTTTACATTGGACTCATATGGAGATATCTTCTTTCTATTTTTTATTTTTAAAAAACTTTTCATACGCAGGCCTCTGATGAAAGAGCACATGCAATATATTATCGACCATGCGGATGAGATCGAGAAACTATTGAAAGTTAAGGCCCAAGTTTCGGAAGTCAAAAGTATTATGCTGGAGAATATAGACAAGGTATGCATGTGAAGTGAAACCTGTTACATTGATCAGCGTTAGATTAATCTTCGTAAGCAGTTTTTTTTCGTTGAAATTGAAAATGTAAAATGAATGTTAAAATAAAATGCCTCCATGATAACTGTTCTTTTGTTTCTTTTGTTTTATTTTGTGTCATTATTTTTCACTAATTAACGTATTATGCACTTTTCAGACTCTCGAAAGAGGTGAAAACCTAACTGTTCTTAACGACAAGGCTGAAGATCTGCGTTATTCGGTATGCGAATCCTTGCATTTCCTCTAAAATCGCTCCTTAATTTATTTGCTTGCACACCCATACGCTTTTTTTCATTACTCGTGCAGGCCCAAGAATTTAAGAAACAAGGCACTCAAATGAGACGAAAAATGTGGTATCAAAACATGAAAATAAAGTTGGTTGTGCTTGGGATTATCCTACTCTTGGTGCTCATAATCTGGCTTTCTGTTTGCCGTGGTTTTGATTGCACCAACTAGATTTTTCTAACTTTTTATTTTTATTTTCTTGTGCAAGTGAAATGTTTCTTTAAATCTAGTGTTTAATACACATTTTTTCGGTCTGTATATTCTTTCCTAATGCGTTTGAAAATTTAGATATAAACTTATTTTTTATTGGGTGAAGGTCCAATGGGCAGCTTGCTGTTCAGGCCTTCGCGCCGTCGCCCAATCGTTGCTCTACTGCTATGGCCTGGCGCAGCTCACCAAAGCTAAACTAAATTTGTTCGGGAAATTTACACAGAAAATTACCCCCTATGCGATCCCCTTTCCTTGTAAGTACAAAAATATAGTCCACAAGTTTTTTATTCCCCATTAACTTTAAGAACCAGTAATACGTCATTAAGAATGTTCATGTTCCACACAGATAATTTTTTTTTGGTACAGGGACTTTCCGATTTCCGGATCCACACAGATAATTTGTTTAACTTGTGTGCATGTGAACATTTATTGAATAATTATCTGTAAATAAAAAAAAGGCAAGAATTAAACATATTTTTTAGGGAGTTGGTGTCTTGGTGATACTCAACCGATATCTTCCTTCTACAATTTATTTATTGTTTATCTATTCATGTTGAGTTGGAAATATCTCTGAAAAATAAAATATTAAACAAAACACAATAATTTTGATTTGTTAAATAAATAAACTACTTTTTATGGAAAACATAACCATTGAAAATACCTCAATTCTTCGATAAAATGTAATAAAGCCACATAATTTACACGCTTGTTGGGAGGTTTAGTTTAGATCTATTTTCTTCCATTAAAGCATGAATATACACTATAAACTGATAAACATGAAAAAAAATATAAAAAATAACAACCTACATCACCACAGAATTTACATGGTTGTTGGGAGGTTTAGTTCAGGTTTATTTTCTTCCAATATAAGTTATTTTTTCTTCCTTTTCTTTTCGTCTTAATTTTGTAGGGAAAAAAAAAAAATAAATCCAAAAAGCAAAAGATACCATTAGATAACATCAAATATACTTATAAATATACATACTCAACTACAAATTAAAAAGAAAATAGTTTCTGTTATAAAATACGGGGAATATAAAGAACACAATGTATAAAAACCGGAACAAATTA